TGTCATAAAATACAGATTTATTTGGCTTTTTCTGGTGGGGTCTAATTTGGCTGACTGGTTTGGTAGTGAGAAACCACCTCACCAATAATGGACACTATGTGAGTTAAATCTTTAGTTTCACAATTTTTTAGGTAAATATATTTAAAGCACGTGAGTAAAACCATATCATCAATTTATTGGCAAACGTGTATTAAAATTAATGTCTGTATTTTCCTAGCCCTTTCTGTGCTTAGCAGGTTAAATAATATACCTCCAAATGAAAGAACAAAGGAAGGGCATATTCTGATAGACTAGGCTGGGCCACAGTAGTAGGTTTTTGTTTTGAGGTCCTGGGAACCAAACCCACCACTGAGCTAYATCCCATCCCTTTTTATTTTTTATTTTGAGACAGGGTCTCACTAAGTTGCCCAGGCTATCCTTGAACTTGAGATCCTCCTGCCTCAGCCTCTCCAGTTGCTGGGATTACAGGTGTGCACCACTGCACTGGGCAGGGTTTGGAGTTTTCATTTACAAGTAGTTGAAYTTACCTCGCTGTCGAATGTCACGAATTGGCCTCTCTAAGGCTGTTGTCTCACAACCAGTGCTGGCTCTTGCAGTCAGATGGTCAGATAGGGAAGAGACAGATATGAAGGGAACTGGAGCCCAGCAGGACAGATTGAGTTCATTCATATTGCCTCTGACCTTGGTGAGGTGGAGCCTTGTAGAAGCTGGAGCCCCCTGGCACAGAGCTAAGCAGGCATGTGAGGCCCAGGAGTCAGAAGCTGAAGGAGGCTCTCAGGGAAGCTGAAGGAGCTACCTTCCAGCCACAGCTGATCAATGACAATGAACACGGGTACAGGGTGAAGAACGACTGAGGCTTCACTTCCATGCTCCAGATCCCACCCAAGAACCTCTTGTGGCCCACCCTAAGAGGAACAGAATTCCCTTTCCACCCTTGCAGAGCTGGCCCTGCCCCAAGGAGACCATGCTAAGACCTGACCCTGATATTGGTCTGGTGTTCAGAAGGGTATACAGAAGAAGACCTTTTTTCCCCCTTTGAAAGAGTCTTTTTGCATTGCTCTGGCTAGTCTTGAATTCATGGGTTCACAGGACCCTCCTGCCTCAGCCTTCCAAATAGCTAGAACTATAGGCTCACACCTGTGGAAGGTCCTGGGGAGGCAAGCTGGCATGTTACTAATTTCTCCCCTCTGGAAACATAACAGCTAATGCATGTGTCTTACTCATGCCAGGTGCAATCTAGTTCTGCTACCCCTTTACTTTAGAGTTACCCTTCTGGAAGACGAGGTCTCTAATGTTGCTGGGGAGGAAACACATTTGGGGAAAGCTCACTAGTCACTATCTCATCTCAGAAGCACTTTGTTCCTGCTCACCGTTCATTGGTCAGCACTCAGTCACTTACACAATGCATCTTCCAGTGTGCCAGCAAAAGGGAAATGTAGCCGGGCACAGTGGCACACACCTGTAACCCCAGCTACTCAGGAGGCTGAGGCAGGAAGATCACAAGTTCAAGGCCAGCCTCAGCAAATTAGCAAGACCCTGTCTCAAAATGAAAAAACTAAATAAATTTTATTTAGAGAGCAGCCCTGGGTTCAATCAATTCCTATACTGCAAAAATTTAAAAAGGGAAATGCAAGGTCCTGGGTTCCATCCCCAGCATTGGAAAAAAAAAAAAAACATGAAAAGAAAATGAAATAGAGTTTGGTGAACACAGAGGAATGTCTGTGCTGTACAAGTATAATTCATAGTCATTTAATGAATCTTGGTACCACGGGTTGAACTCAGGGGCAATTAAGCACTGAGCCACATTCCCAGCCCCCCCCAACCCCCCCTTTTTTTTTAAGTCTCTTAAGTTGCCAAGTTGCTTAGGGCCTGGCTAAGTTGCTGAGGCTGGCCTCAAACTTGCAATCCTCTTGCCTTAGCCACCAGAGTCACTGGGATTACAGGTGTGCACCATTATGCCCAGCTAATGAATGTTGACACCCAGGGTTGTTCTACCACTGAACTATACCTCAATCATTTTTAAAATTTTTTTATTTGTTCTTTTTAGTTACACATGACAGTAGAATTTATTTTGATATATCATTCATACATAGACTACAACTTCCCATTTTTGTGGTTGTACATGATGTGGAATTACACTGGTCAAGTAGTCTCATACTGAAAGGGTAAAGTTTCTAAGCTGCAAGGCCTGAGTTAAAATGTCAAGGACCAGGCATTGTAAAGCTGCTTCTAAACTGCAAAGCCTGGGTTAAAAAGTAAAGGACTAGGTATTGTACAGTTTCTGAACTATACACAGAACCTGAAATTCCTAAGGCAGTTAAGACAATGCAAAAAAAAAAAAAGGCAATGCCCTACTGGCCATTTAGTTGTTTAATAACTTAGGACCCTATGTAGCCCGTGTAGCCGGGCACATAGGCATCCAGGGCCCCAAACCAATCAGTTTGAATGTGTACCCGGCTTAGAAGTGACGGATCACCCCTGCCCAGCCTGTTTCCGCCAATGAATGTACTAATCATGTCTAAGAGTTGTTGTTTGATTTTCCCGTGCCTCATGATGATTTGTCCTGATGTATGCAAAGCCTCTGCCCTCCCCCAAAAAAGTGTACTTAAGCATTGCTCAACCCCTGCTCTGGGCTCTTGGCTGCTCTCCCTTCTTGAGTGGGCCGGGAGCCCCAGCGCAGGGTTCGGAGAGATCGGACGCAGCCCGGTGGAGGGAGTGTGTTCCCGTGTGGTGTGTGAGTGCCGGTGAGAGTTGGGGAATAAAGAGTTGCTGTTTGAATCTACAAGGCTTTGGGCGGCTCGGTTATTTGTGCCCAGCCAGACTGTGGCATTTCAGGGAGAAAAAATAATATGAAATTGTCACCTGTTAGAAAGAGCTTTTCATGTACACGTTAAAGAACGATGAGCTTGTGTTGTAGTCAGCTTTTTCGCTGCTACAACGAAAGACCCAACCTGAACAACTGTAGAGGAGGAAACGTTTATTTGGGGACTCAGAGTTTCAGAGGACTCAACCATAGAGGCAGGACATCTTGGTGGAGAGTGTGGTGGAGGAAAGCAGCTCACATGATGATCAGGCAGCAGAGGGAGACTCCACTTGCCAGATATAAAATATGTACCCCAGAAGCACTCCCCAGTGACCACCTCCTCCGGCCACAACCCACCTGCCTTCATTTACCACTCAGTTAATCCGTCAGGGAAATAATTCACCAATTAGGTTAAGGCTCCCAAAACCCAATCATTTCTCCTCTAAACCTTGCATTGTCTCGCACTTGAGCTTCTGGTGGACACCTCACATCCAAACCCCTAGGCAGGTGCAAGGCTGTGGATTCCATCCCCAGGCCTGGAAGGGAGAGGAGGGGAGAAGAGAGGAGGGAAGGTGAGAATGGACAGCCCATAAATTACTTTGTAACTTTCCAGCTCCCTCTAAATTTTCTGGAATATAGCAAAGTAAAAACAAGTCCTCAGTAGAGAGAGACCGCTGAGCTCATGACTCTGGAGGTTAACATTTGATTAGACCCCTCCCCCAATCACCCAGTCAACACCTGGCGCCACGGCCACTGATATGAGCCAAAACCCACAGCCAGACCAGGGTCTTGCCATTTCCCAGTTCTGAAGGAAGCCCAGCCCCTCTGGATCATCAGGCTATGTGCCATGTAATTACGTACCCTCATAAGGAGCTGACCTTGGCCCTGAGGACACACCCCATCTGGAGACGTGGCACTCTGCCTGAGCATTCCCCCCTCACCTGTGCTTTCCACACTCTTCCTCTCTTCGCCAAAACCTGATCCAGCCTTAAATTCTTTTCTGTGACATGTCAAGAGGCTGGAAGTTCCAAGTAGAGGTCTCCTCTGCCTCTGGAGAGGGCTTCTCAGACCCTCCCACAGGTGACACAGCCTGACCTTCACCTGTAACAATTGGCCAGCRGGAACACTTCAAAATGCTAGGTGCACTGTAAGGAACACCAGGGTTGTGACTACATCCGCTGCCTAGCTTTGAAAGCCACGTACTCTCACGATGAGTCTTTGGTGGTACTTCAGTTGTGGAACTTCTGGTCCCCTCTTCAGCCCTGGAGCATGATAGTCCCAGCACGTGATCTCCACGTGGACATCATTTCTTGCCAACTATCTAAACTCTACCCATTATCAGGGACCAGCTTTAAGGCCCTTTGTCAGGAGTTAATACTAGAAGAGTGCCCCATATCAACTGACACTCCTTTAACCATGGAACATTCCATCACCAACCCCTGGTTCAGACCCCCAGAGCACACTTCCAGCAGGTGCTCCTGGGCCTTCCCAGTACCCATGAGTCTGGTCCTGCAGCTCCTTTAGTGAATAATCCTTTTCCACCCTCAGCAGAGCTGGCCCAAGTAGACCATGCTGAGACTTGATCCTGATATTGGTCTGGTGTTCAGAAGGGGATACAGAAGAAGACTTCCCTCCCACCCCCTGCCCCCAAAACAGTCTTTTTGCATTACTCAGGCTAGTCTTGAACTCATGGGCTCACAGGACCCTCCTAACTCAGCCTTCCAAATAGTGGGAACTACAGGCTCACACCACTGCTCCCTGCGTAAGATCCTGGGGGAGGCGGATATTGTTTGCAGGCTACATGCCTCAGTTCAGGGCCCTGCGTTTGCAAAGACTTCTGCTGTCATCCTCAGCAAGGGGAGACCGACTCATTCCTGCTCAGAATGTTCAAGGAACTAGGGTTAAACATTTGGTTTTGGTTTGGGTTTTCTGTACTGGGGCTGAACCCAGGGATGCTCCACCACTAAGCTACATGCCCCCTCTTTTATTTTTTTACTTTGAGACAAGATCTCACTAAGTTGTCCTGGCTGGCCTTGAACCTGTGATCTTCCTGCCTCAGCCTCCCCTGCTGCTGGGATTACAGGCAAGTGCCACTGCCCGGCTGCATTTGTCTTTCTGTGCCTACTATTTCACTTAGCACTGTGTCTCCTCTTCCATTTAGGTTGTCATAATTCAAAGAATTTCCTTCTTTTTTAAGGCTGAAGAGCAGTACTCCATTGTGTACATAAACTGCACTTTCTTGACCCGTTCACCTGTTGATGGACACCCAGGCTGATTCCATAATGGGCTGTCGTGAACAGTGCTAAGGTGAGTCTGAGTGTGGACATCTCTGGCAAACCGATTTCAAGACATGTATGTAAATGCTCTGAAGTGGATTATTAGTTTGATGCTAGTCTTTTTATGAATTTATTTTTGCAGTTCTGGGAATTGGACCCAGGTGCACTCTACCACTGAGCTACATCCCCGTCCCTTTTATTTATTTATTTTTTAAATTTTGAGACAGGGTCTAGCCAAGTTGCCCAAGCTGGCCTTAAACTTGTGATCTTCTGCTTCAGCCTCCCAAGATGTTGGGATTACAGGCAAGCACCACTGTGTCCTACAATGATAGTCTTTTTTTTTTTTTTCCCCCTAGGTCCAGGGATTGAACTCAGGGGCACTTAACCACTGAGCCACAAACCCAGCCCTATTTTGCATTTTATTTAGAGACAGGGTATCACTGAGTYGCTTAGCACCTCACTTTTGCTGAGGCTGGCTTTGAACTTGCAGTCCTCCTGCCTCAGCCTCCCGAGCTGCTGGGATTAAAATACCTTTGCTTTAAATTGGTAACTGTCTGACCTGAACCTAATTTCTCTCCTCCATAAAATTAATAATGTCCAGCAACACTGTTATGCTGAAGTCTTTCAAACTATTGGTGCTTCTGTATTGCAGAGCCAGGACGACTGTCTTCGGCTGTATCCGCTTTTGATCTACCACTGTGGAACCCCAACGCAAAGAAAAGACCACCACCTGCAACTTCAAATCAAATTAAAGCAAGCTTGTATTTGTGTACTCTGGAGCTGGTCAGGACTGTCTCTCCGGAAAAACCGGGCTAGAGATCAGCCCCCAGCTCTCCAGGAACACGATTTTAYAGCACAAAGAATTGCAAAGGAGGATGTCTTGAGAACTTACAGATAACAGGATTTGAACAAGCATAATACAAAGGCAGAGATCAGGTTAATGATCTACATGGCATGACATTTCAAGGTAGGGAGTCAATTCAGATCCCAGCATCAGAGTTTATGAGGCGCCACTGAGGTTTCAGAGCGGGTTGGGACAGGGAAAGGCAGGATGGGTGAGTTCAAGGCATGGGCGGGAATTCCACACAAGTTTAGAAACTGCAGTAATTTATACTAAAACAGAAATGAACTTTTCATGACTTTTTGACTGGAATTGGGCTGGGTTCATCCCCACAAACCCATCCGCGGCAGCACACCAGGGGCCAGCGACACACACTCACCATCAGTGATGGAATCCTTATTTGCCATCTGGATTTCACCAGTCTCCACAGTCCTGGGTAGAGCTCTCTAGAGGCAGCCCAGTGACCTCCTAAGTCAACGCTCCCGGGGGGGGGGGGGGGGGGGGGGGGGGAGCAGAGGGAGGGCGCCATCCCAAGGTGGGGCTTCCGCGGTCCCACCGGGGATTTTGGATTGTAAATCACGCTCAGAGTCCACCCGACCTCTGCAGGAGACCTGGCCTGTCCCACTCCACCCCCGGCGCCGGCTGGCCCAGCCCCTGGTTGGGCGGACCACAGTCCCCAGCGCTTCCGCCCCTAGGCTGCGGCTTGGAAGCCCTGGGAAGAGAGTCCCAGGTGTGGACCATGGAAAGCAAAGGCCACCGAGGTTAGGAGCCCGGCAACCAACCGCAAGAGGGCGGCCCGGCGGGGGGCGCAGCTCAGCGAGAGGACGCTCACTGGGCATGCGCAAGGCCTGGGGCTCGGGCACCGCCTTCCTGCCTTCCCTCCTGCCCTTTCCACACCTCCGACCCCGGAGGAGCTGGATGCAGCCTGGCTAGTGGGGAGGGGAGACTCCAAGAGGCAGAAATGGGGGGCACGTGGGCGCACGATAGGCTACGCCCTAAGGACTTGTGCTCTGCGGGCGGCGGGCCGTGCTCTCCCGACCCCTAAGCACCAACCTGGCCAGGGAGCCTGCCTTCTTGTTCTGCTCCCTCGTGGACACGTGGCCCCCATGACCGCACTGGCGGGAGGGAGACTGCTGGACCAGGCATTGGCTTTTCAGCAGGTTTCAACACAGGTGTGACAACCACATGTCACTGGGCAGAACGAGTCACAACTGTTCTGCCCAACGACTGCAGGGACCCAGAAAGAGGGAATCCAAATGGTACATTGAGTGAACGTTATGCCAACTGTGGTTGGTTGGTTGGTTGGTTGGTTTTTGCAGTGCCAGGGGTCAAACCCCAGGCCTCACGCACCATGGGAAAGCCCTCCCCACCCAACCTTCCTTCTTCACCACAAGCTTTGAAGGGTAGCTCAAGCCTGAACTTCGTGAGAAAAAGTCTTAAATCAAATGAGAAAGTAAAACAAGGCAGGTGGAAAATATTTTACCTGGCACAGCACATAGGTAGTTATGTGAAAGAATTAAGTTTTCTGACCAAAAAAAAAAAAAAAAAAACTGAAAATAGCCAAAATACCTAACTGTGAAGTACTGGCTAAGTAGATCATATATTCATAGATTGGTAGGTCTTTAAGCCATGCTTCCTGACACAGTCAAATGTTCATAATATAACATAGGGCTGGGGCATGGCCCAGGGTGCCTAGCATGTACAAGGTCCTGGGTTCCATGTCCAGCACTGAAAAATTTTAAAAACCATAATATAATGTAAGAGGCAAAGTCAAGATATGCAGCTGTGTGTGAGAATCTGCCATCTCCTCCCTGGATCACTGTCAAGACCCTGGTAATCATCCTCCATCCCGTCTGCCCCTCCAACACACTCTTTTACAGGGCAGCTAGACACTGTCTACAATCGAAAGCTGATGTCCCACCCTGGTCCCCAGGGTCATATCTTCATGATTTACCTGTCTCTATTTCTGGTCAAGCCTCTTTCTCCAGCTTGATTTTCCTCAATTACCACCATCGCAGCCCAGACAGTTCCTCTGAGCTCCAGATATGTATAGACCACTGACATCCTCCCGGTGTCTTACGAGGATTGTCTTAGAGTATCGCCAACTTGACATGAAAACTAGAATTTTCTTTTTTTAAGTTCTCACTTAAAATTGAACCTCCAATTCCTTCCAAGTTTTGTCCTTTGCCATTTTTTTTTTTTCTAACTCAGCAAATGAAACCGCTACCCACCCGGCCAGCAAAGCCAGAAGTTCCAGAATCATTCTTTTGAGTTTCAGCTCCTTCCTGATTTCAGCCTGCAGTTGGCTCTTCCTGGTCTCCCCAGTTCCTCACTACATCACTGTATGCCAGTCCCTCGAGTCCCATCTCTCTACAGTGACCTTACCCCGCTGACTTTCCTGACAGAAATTCAGATCCAATCTCTCTGTTCCCATGTCCCGACAGCAAGAAGACTGGCTTCTCTGCTGTGTCAGCAGTCTTCCGGCCTGTCCTCTCTCCTCCTGGGATTGGTAAAGTGCTCAGCAAAGGTTCTCAAACCTCATCAACCCAGTCCAGTTCATTTCTAGTCATCAATCTCTAATTGTCGTCAGTGTCAGGACAGGTCTCCCATCAGCAGACAAACTCGCTCATCAGACCTAGCAAACACCTCGGGTGCCAGAGCCAAGACGGGTGCCTCTGGCATTGCAGCCTGCTGGCCTTGGGCACTTCAGGCTCAGCTAAAGTCTCATTTCCTATCCTTACGAAATCGCAAACCTCTGTGGACCACATACTCACTCACCGGGATCACAGTCCTTCTCAGCCAATCCCTTGAATTGCTAAGATCATGATGTCAACTGTCCTTTCCCCGAAATTCTGCCCTGTTCTCCTCACTGCCCTTGGGGTAAAGGTGTCCCCACCCGGCATGCTATTGGGCATGCTCATCATTCCTGATCATCTCTCCAGTCTCAAGATGTTTCAACCATTTACCCTAAACTATGTCCCAATCTGTGATACGTGTGTCACTGGGCACATCCTAGTTTGCCTGCCAAGTCTCAGTGCCACCTCCTCCAGGAAGTCCTCCCTGGTTCTCCCAAGCAACACCAGCCTACATGGACACTCAGCGTTTCCAGATCTGTTTCTTCACTGGGCAAACTTGCTGGAGACGGTCAATGTCTTATTCATTTCAGCATCTCCAGGACTTGGTGGAACCCTCTTCAGAGGGCTGGTTAATACGTGTGATGACTCATTTCCCAGGTTCCACCCATTCCCTCATGCATTGTTCTCCTGCCAGGCTCATGAATTCTTGGAACCTGGATCACCTTTCCTGCCCTTCCTGGTAGGCATGCCGGCCCCCCTTCCCCAGTAATCAATGCTATGTCCACTGCGATGGCAGGCCACATGACACCGTGATTGGCTTGTCCCTGCTGGTCAGAAGCTTTCCAGGAGAGAGAGCTCAGGGTTGGAGGTAGCAGGGTTCTTAACTGTTTTATGTACCATGAATTCCTCTGGCGTTTCATGAAGAACATGAACTCTTCCTCAGAATGATATTTTCAAATGCACAGTAAAGGGCACATTGATCACAAACCCAATCAAAATAAAAAAAAGTGCTTATCAAAATATTGGAAAATGCACACATACATCTGCACTGTTTATATAGATGACGTGTTATGTGATATAGGTATACATATCAATATCAAGATCTAATGATGTAGGTCTCATAACTACCATAATTTAAAAGTGATGCCCAGAAATGATCATTTGAGATGTCTTGTCACCACTGTAATGTGGTAGGAAATACCTGTGATTTCTGTTGGTGACACAGTTGCAGGGACTCCCCATACCACTTGGGGTTTGTGGCTCACATCCACAGTGAGAGGGGATGCTCATTCCCAGTTTGAGATCAGGAAAACTAAAGAACACATCTTTTGCTATCCAAGTCTAAGGACACCCTAAATTCAGCCATGGACCCCAGGTTAAGAACCCCTGAGTGGTGGTTGAGAGGCATGGCAGACAAATCCTTTAGAGATGACAGCGATGGCAAGTGGTCAGCTTCTGTGTGACCATTGATTGGTTTACAGGCAGTTGGGTGATGGGGGGCAGTGGACACAGCACTGTAGAAGGTCTAAATTGGAACTCCTCAGGTATCACTGGTGTTGAGATTTGACCTGACCCTTCCCAGGCCCAGGGGCGGTTTCCTCATCTGTAGGGTGGGAAAGGTGATTTTTGCTCACAGGTCGCTGGGACCACTCAATCTGCTAATACGGAGGTTCATGAATGCTTGTTGTTAGAAGACAGTGGTATTGGATGTCTACAGAGAACATGCCACACACAGTCATTCTCTCTCTCTCTCTCTCTCTCTCTGCCATGCATAAACCCCAAAGTCTGATCTGCTGTCTGACCTTGGGCAGCACCCGTGTGCTTGCAGGGGAAACCCTTTCTTTTTTTTTTTTTTTTTTTTTTTTAAGAGAGAGTGAGAGAGGAGTGAGAGAGGAGAGAGAGAGAGAGAGAGAGAGAGAGAGAGAGAGAGAGAGAGAATTTTTAATATTTATTTTTTTTTAGTTCTTGGCGGACACAACATCTTTGTTGGTATGTGGTGCTGAGGATCGAACCCGGGCCGCACGCATGCCAGGCGAGCGCACTACCGCTTGAGCCACATCCCCTGCCCTGGGAAACCCTTTCTTGCTGAGTCAAGGTGAGTAAGCACGCCCTGCTTCTCCCGCAGTTCAAAAGAACAATGCCAAACCCAAATGGCCTTGTTATTTTATTAGAAGCATATTTACATTCCCAGAGTTACCTTTGCAGAGAACATTTTACAAAAGTTTTATATAAACTTTGGAAACTACATAAAAAATAACTTCTGTCCTTCATAAAGAGAAAATATAAGTTAGTTATATTTACTCTGCTAAAAATAGAGATAGATTTCCGTCTGTCCGTTGCACAGAAAAAGTTAGCATAGGGCATGAGGAATACTGCGTGGCCTTCTCAGCCATGGCTTTGCACATGGGCCCGTCTGTGAGGCTGGGAG